GCAGCCAAAAGTCAACGTTCCCTTTACATATCTCATGATATGTTTTGCAGCTGCTAGATGTTCAGTAGTGGGACGTTCCATATATCGACTTATTAACCCAACAGCGTGACTAATATCAGGCCGGGTGTGTACCAAATATCTCAAGCTACCAACGATACTTCGATAATAGGTAACATCAACAGGCTGACAGCTACTAACCTTTTGCAACTTCAACTTTGGTTCCATAAGGGTTTGAGCGGCATTACATTTCTCAAGCCCACACTTAACCAAGATACGAGAGGCATATGCAGCTTGGTTTAAAGAAATGCCTTGTGAATGTTGCTTGACTTTAATGCCCAGATAAAAACTTAATAAGCCAAGATCACTCATGCTGAACATGCTCTTCATCTGTTCTTTGAAAGAACGCAAGTCTTCCACATTCTCACCCGTGATGATTAAATCATCTACGTAAACTCCCACAATCAGAGTTGATTGATTCTTCTTCCTTCTGTAAATGGCATGTTCCGCTTGACTTTTAACAAAACCAAGAGATTTTAAGGTCTTGTCCAATTTTGTATTCCATGCCCGAGGAGCTTGACGTAAACCGTATAATGCTTTGTGCAACCTCAAGACCTTGTGTTCTTCCCCTTGTATTTCGAATCCCGGAGGTTGTGATACATATACTTCTTCCATAAGTTCCCCATTTAAGAAGGCGGACTTCACGTCCATATGATGAACTTCCCAACCCCTTTGGGCTGCCAGCGCAAGCATAAGCTTAACTGATTCCATTCGAGCTACCGGAGCGAAAACTTCTTCAAAGTCAACTCCAAATTTTTGAACATATCCCTTTGCGACTATTCTCGCCTTATGCCTCGTCACAACACCATTCGAATCCTTTTTTAATTTAAACACCCATTTGAGTTGAATAAGCTTGTGCCCTCTCGGTAGATCAACCAGCTTCCAAGTCTTGTTATCATAAATTGATTGTAATTCCTCCTTCATAGCCTTCAGCCACTCCGCTTCTTTCATAGCATCAATAAAATTTGATGGCTCTTCCATAAAAAATAAACATGCATCAGTGTCTTCGAGATCAATTATACTTGTGTCATTATAGACATCACTCAAGTCACGAAAGCCACGAGGGCCTATGCTGGAACTCTCTTGTACAGCTTCATTGTCTTCTTGCGTTGAGATGGTGTGTAAGTCTGGTGTCCTGGGTTCAGTGACAACATGCTCTTCCTCTCCATGAGGGAGTGTGTCATTGATAGTAGGACTTCTATCAAATTTGATTGAAAAGCTTTCCTTGGCGCCCATATCTTTGTATCGATTTTCCTTCGTGCAATCCCATTTCCGTCCTTCATCAAATACAACATCTCTTGTCACGACTAACTTCTCTGTCATAGGATCATACATCCGGTAAGCTTTTGAAAAAGGTGACTCGTATCCAATGAATACCATTTGCTTGCTTCTATCTTCCAATTTAGAGAGATGTTTACCAACATTTTTAACATGAGCAACACACCCAAAAGTGCGAAGATGTCGAACATCAGGTTTGTGGTTATGCCAAGCTTCATACGGTGTCTTGCCTGTCACACTCTTCGTTGGAGCACGGTTGAGTAGATACACAGCCGTCATTACGGCTTCTCCCCAAAAGGACGCTGGAACACTCATGCTTTTTAGTAAACTTCTCGTCATACTCACAATTGTCTGATTACGTCTCTCCACTACACCGTTTTGCTGTGGAGAATAGGGAGCAGTAAGTTGATGCTTCATTCCAAGACTATCACAATAGCTTGCGAGCTCGTTTGACGTAATTTCACCACCACGATCGGTTCTCAATATCTTCAGTTTGCATCCTGATTTAACTTCAGCCATAACTTGTATTTTCTTTATTGCTTCAAGGGCTTCAGCTTTGTTCTTAATCAACACAACCCACATGTAACGAGAGTAATCATCAACCAATAATAGAAAATACCTCTTTCCACCATGTGTCGACGGTGTGATTGGTCCACATAAATCTCCATGCACCAACTGAAGTGGTTTAGTTACACGAAACTTTGCTTTGGCTGGGAATGAATTACGCCTTTGCTTTCCAACCATGCATCCATCACATATCTCTTCAACGTGATCAAGAAGTGGCATCCCATTGACCATATTTCCTTGCACTAATTTCCTCAAGGCTTGAAAGTTTACATGACCAAATCTTGAGTGCCACAACCATGATTTATCATTGTGCTTTGACATAAGACAAACTGTCTGAGCTTGAATAAGATTAAGGATGTAAAGCCGATTCCTAGTCCTATTCATCTTTGCAAGCATCTTTCGTTGTCGATCCAATACGCACATGACTCCATCTTCAATGACAATTTTACAACCATTTTCGTCAAGTTGACCCATGCTTATTATATTATTCTTTAATTGAGGAATATAATAAACATTGGTCATAACTCTGTGTTCTCCAGTCCCACATTTCAAAAGAACTGAACCTCTTCCACATATATTCACAGACGAACCATCCCCAAACTTCACTTTTCCTATTATGGATTCATCTAGATCAACAAATTTTTCAACAACCCCTGTCATGTGATTACTTGCCCCTGAGTCAAGGTACCAAGAATGAGTTCTACTTCCTGTTAACTTTGGAAGTACCCCTTCTTCGTTCAGGTAGACCTCTCCCTTCGATGCAACTCCCAGATTTGCAATAGCACAAGATTCAATCATAAGCAAAGCAGGTTCGTCCAAGTCATCATCTTCCTCTATTGCGAGGTTTGCTTTTTCTCGTTTCGGCTTTCGACATTCAGAAGCAAAATGCCCCCATTATATTGCAATTGAAGCACTTGATTTTACTTTTATCAAACTTCCGATGTTTCTTCTCTTTTTTCTCATCAGAACTGCTTCTATCATCATTGTCACCTCGACGATTTCCATGTGGCCTATTACCAGACCCTTCTCCAATGATCCTTCCTTTTTGGATCATGTTCTTGATCTCCGCACGAGTCACCATCATAAGTTGGTCATTCCCATCTTCAGTTCGTTCACTCCGGCGACTACGTGTACTCTGTTCAAATGCCTGCAATCTTCCTACAGCTTCAGACACGGACATTGCCTCCACGTCTCCCCATTGTTCGTATCCGTTAACATTGGATATTGGATTGGTACGCTATTTCCTCGCGTTTTATCGCCCATGTCTCTCAAGCCACGCTCTGATACCAAATGTAGATTGAGAAGGGATTGAGGAAAACCTTGCTTACAGAAGTAGGAAAAGAAAGATAGTCTGAAATTACTTAACTTGATTTGATCTTTCAGCGTACTTACAGTTACACACATATATACATACAACTTAATTAAAAGTAACTAACACGTCTCTTCACCAAGAGGCGTATCTATTAACCACGTATCTACTCAACACATTAAAGGGTTAAAGACACATTTGGTCACTGAGATTACAAAATCGGGACATGTTTAGTCACTAGAAAAATTTAATATCAAATTTGGTCACTACAATTACTAAAACTGGACGCATTTAGTCACTCGCCGTTAGTCTCCGTCCAACTCCGTTAATGAAGTCCGTTAAGTGCTGATGTGGCAAACAGAATTGCCTAATCAGCCGGATATTAACCCAACAAAAATAAAACCCGACCCGCCACGTCATTATAACCCGCCACCTCATTAAAACCAACCCAACCCAACCCAACCCAACCCATCACCTAACCCTACCCAACCCTTCTTCCTCCTTCCTCCCCAACCCAATTTAGGGTTTTCCCCATTAATCTGCCGGCCGCCCTTCCTTCATCTTCTTGAGGAATGTGGCGGTGCCGGCTCGGAGCTCGGTGGTGAAGCAAGTTTTCCGCTCATCGAGTTTGAATTGCTTCCCGACTCTGCTTCCGGCCACGTAGTTGTTCAGTCGAGTTAAAATCGAGGTAAAGAACGATCGGAAATGGCCGGTGAACTCGCCGCCTCCTCAGCTGCCGGCGGCATTGTCGAATCGTGTTTCGCCAGTTCGGGAAATCTCCATCACTATAAATGTGCTCTCCCCTTTCCTTCCAAAATCCTTTCCTCCCAACATCTTTATTTGCTTCCTGCGACTGCTTTCCCCTCTCCGTGTGCGAATTCTGAATCCCAGCTCCATCAATGGCGAAGGTCAAGATCGGAATCAACGGTATGCACTCTCTCTTCTTCTTTGTCTTCATTTTTTCTGTAATGGTAGCGAGAAATTGACTTTATGGGTAATTCTTTGTTTTGGAAATGTTAGGTTTCGGAAGAATTGGGCGCTTGGTCGCCAGAGTAGCGTTACAGAGAGACGATGTCGAGCTCGTCGCCGTCAACGATCCTTTCATCACCACTGACTACATGGTACGTTTTCAACGTTTAATGCAAATGGAGGCGAATGGTAAATCGTTTGGAAACCACGAAATGATCTGATTTATAGTGTGTGTTTGGTTTTTGTTCAGACGTATATGTTCAAGTACGACAGTGTTCACGGGCAATGGAAGAACCACCGAGCTCCGAGCCGGCACCGCCACATTCCTCAAGAAGATGAAGGAAGGGCGGCCGGCAGATTAATGGGGAAAACCCTAAATTGGGTTGGGGAGGAAGGAGGAAGAAGGGTTGGGTAGGGTTGGGTGATGGGTTGGGTTGGGTTGGTTTTAATGAGGTGGCGGGTTATAATGACGTGGCGGGTCGGGTTTTATTTTTGTTGGGTTAATATCCGGCTGATTAGGCAATTCTGTTTGCCACATCAGCACTTAACGGACTTCATTAACGGAGTTGGACGGAGACTAACGGCGAGTGACTAAATGCGTCCAGTTTTAGTAATTGTAGTGACCAAATTTGATATTAAATTTTTCTAGTGACTAAACATGTCCCGATTTTGTAATCTCAGTGACCAAATGTGTCTTTAACCCACACATTAAAACGACGCCGCCCTATGTGTTTAAACCCAACACAAACTTAATTACCATAATCTTCAGGACGCCTAATGATATCGAAAAAAGGCGTGTACACGTCAACAAACTGGACACTCAACTCAAGTCAAGAATCGATACGTCATCGTTCAGTCGCTGAATTTCGTCACTGAGCTTCTCGTTGAACATCACGGCCAGCTCGCTGGACTCGTCAGAACATTGCCTCTGTACTCCACCGAGCAAAGTTCTGAAGGCGGGGAAACATCCGGTCGTTAACGCACTCAGGTGAACGATCTTTCGAGCTCCCAGCCCGTACAGCTGCCTGAGAAAGGCGGAAGCCCGGCCGGCGAGAAAGCCGGCGTATGAAGCCATTTCCAACGACGACTTTGTTCTGGTATGAAACAAAGAGGTCAATAAAACGTCGTTGTTGCCACATGATATTACACTAGCTTATTACCCGGCCCGTTGGCCGGATTACTGTATGTTACCCACTTGTGGAATGAGAGAAAGCAAGTGAGAGTAAAGGGATTGAGATTCCACTTGATTAGGATCGACCCACTAATTCGATTCTTCCCGACCCTTCCCAACCTAAAGGGTAAGAAAGAGTCAATAAGAAAATACGAACGGAGAGGATTAATCATATATCTTGACTCTTCAGAAGTGGGTCAAACAGGATCAATGTTGGGTGAGGGCAATTTTTAGCGCTAAGCAGAGTTCTGGGTTGAATAACTTTACTTAGGCCTAGAAATTGGTACTGATGCAGACTGCAGTTTTTATTATACCATCATCAATCATCATTGAATTAGTCCTGGGCATCCCTCCCCATTGTCGGTCTGAATTCTAATGATGGCTTCATTCCTTGCACCAGCCATATCAGTGAGTTGTCATCCCGAGCATGATTTGCCTATGTACAAATGATACAATTAGAGTATGAAACTGAATTCAAAGAAAAGGAAAAGAGAATTCTATCACATGCCAATAAATACACACATAATAGTTGAAGCTAAGTGAAAGTCATTAGTCGCACATCAATTCTAAAAAATTACAGACTAAGCAATGGCTAGAATGGCACTGAAACTACCAAGAATCATGGACGAAACAACTTGTCAAATTAAATAATCCTTATACTGAAACTACCTTCTAACTTGAAATAAGACATGATCACAGTTCATAGCACTCTTATCACTATGAATTGGTTGCAGCTCGTCCTTATCACTGCCTCCCAAGCTCAATTCAAACAGAATAGAGACCGTTATGTAAGATAACCATATCCTTACTGATCATAATTCCTTTCTTCACTCCATTTTTGTCGGAGAAAAGAGTTATCCCCCTCTCCTGCATTTCCCTTTCCCCCTCTCTTCTCCCTCTTCTTCACAAACCGATCCCTAAACCAGCAACAACAACACAAAAATAGCCTTCGCCTCTGCCATCTCCATCTACTAAACGCGTTGGTGGCAAGACAGGACTGCATAAGCAAAATTTTCTAAAATCAAACTAAATTTTTTGAAGGAGACTGAACCACTAAAAAAGAGTAAAGCAACAATGCTAATAGTTCAGATGGTTGGTTTTGATGTTGTACGTTGCTTTTGTTATGGTCTCAGTATATCAAATGCAACAGAGATGTTTCCTCCAATCATCTTTAGTGCACAATTTAGAAGTAAGTCCTCTTGTTTGTGTCAAACGGAAACATTCATGGGTTCATAACTCCCATGTTAGTGTAAATGCAGCAGCAGCAAAGAAGTTTGACAACACAGCAAGCACCCAGGAAAAATGATACAATGCAGTAGGTGATATGTGTCTCGAAGGTTTTGAGTTACTAAAGTTCATGTTAAAAATAAACATGAATTAAAATGGACTATTCTATTAAGAAAACATCCCCTCTAACCATACAAAGATCAGATATCCAATTCACAAACAATTCAGCCATAAAAAATCATCACCCCTCTAACTCTTAAGGGTAACGTTCATGGGTAGTCTGTTTCATAACTCTAGAGAGCACAATAAGCAGCCACCAGCCAGACACAGTGCGGTAGGCGAATATGATTCTCAATTCACAATTTCTCACCACCGGAAGTAAGAACAGACCATAATAAGCGTAGCGTTCATTGGTGGTCTGTTTCATAGCACTACTACACAATTTGTTAAAAAAGAAAGAAATGTATTTAGCATCACGGCGGAACAACTTTTACAGGCCAACAACGACAACATGCTGCAACCACCAGAACTGGTATCACAACTCATAGGAAAAATCAAAAGATTTACTCTCAAATTAAGTAGTTACAACATCTAGCAATCGTCAAGCACATACACCATCACAAAAGTCACGGAACCTGATTCACAAAGCATTCAAACATTTGAGGACATTTCTGCAAAGGTACAACTTATATGTCTTTTTTCCAAGCCATTTCCATCAACATGCTAATAAATTTGTAATGCATAAAACAAACGGGCCAAAAACTTGAAATTCAGCCTGTTTGACCGACCCATGCCAAATTCTAATTATTCTTTACTTTTAAACTTTCTATTTGAAAATAAAAAATAGTGAAAGAAAAGAGACGACTACAATTCGCCATTTGCACATCACTTATTCGGGAATAAAACCATAGAAATTCAAAAGGAACTGAAAATGTTTAGGATCGTTTTAATGTTTAAAATAACCAAATAGATCTTTATGTTTAGTTTTTTACTAACAAATACCAAACAATTCCCTATAAAATACACTATAATTTGATCATTATGATGTCAAATAATTATAAAATATATATTTGAAATGATAAAAATTGGACTAATTGGGTTGGTCGAGGTTGAACCATTGAATAACTTTAAAATACATTATATTTTAGCCACTAAGATATAAAATAATAGCATAATATATATTATGCCAGAGAAAATAGCTTGTTTTAGAATGGCAAACCAATGATGTTCATTTGTTTTACTTGATGGACAATCCCATGTAGGTCAGGCTCATTCAACTCTTTTATTTTATGGGTAGCGGTTAGCCCATTAGATACCATGCATTAGTTTATTGTTAAATTTTTTTATTTTTAATAATAAAAAGGAGTAATATTTTTGAATTTTTATATATATTTTATCACCACTGAGAAATAAAAGGGTATAAAGAAAAAAATGACACTCCTTGACCTGTTTAAATCAGCATGTGTACGGTAAGTTGGCCCGTTCCACAGAGGAAAGAGAAAAAAATTGACACTCCCTATTCTACCCTTCTTACAAACGCTCATGGAGCAGGGAATTTGAAATGGGGGAAGAGTTTTTTTCACCCTGCTATTATATGTTTTTAATTTAAAAGGATACAACAAATGTACTTAGTGTGATTGGTTATGATCATTGTCTTTCTTTAAAATGGTCATGGTTCGAATCCCAGTACGTATCTTTTTAATGAATAAAAAAAATAATTGTGAAGACCAAAATGTCCTTCCTACTTTCACTCTCGTTGCAGGAAATTTGAAATGGGGCTCCCGTTTTTCCCTTCGGTGTATTATAAGTATAGTAGAGATAGATAAATGCTGTTTTCAACGACGTCGTTTGATGTCTGCTCTCCCACGAGGTTTCTCAACTTCCCCACGTATTGTTGGAAGAGATTGAGTTGATACGGAATCGATATGACTTGACTAATATACATATTTCAAACAAGTCATAATTAGAAATAACTTATATAGGTATACATTTTCAAAAAAGTCATTTTTCTTGTAGTGTGTTAATACAAAGTCAAGAAAGTCATTACCAATATTTTTGGTGTCTTGGGATCATAACCAGAACTGGTCGAAGCAAAACACACTCCCGTTATGAGATCGTCATCTTGAAGATTTGGATCAAGATAAGGCAGTAAAAAATACTTGATTCCCAAACTTTCAACTGCACAAATACGCAAATGATTAACAATTGCTTGCCATTAAGATACATTTCGGAACTGGATACTTAGCATAAGAGATTCCCAACATATTATAAGATTCATTTTCTTGAAAATAAACGCTTTTTCAAACCTATAAAACATATGGAATTCTGAGCTTCTTCTTTGGAACAACTTATACGTACTTCTTCTAGTTGATCTATATCATACTATATCCTTGTAAGATTATATACACTAATTAACAGCCAGCCCGATGCTACATCTTAGGCACATTGGGAACAAAAATAATTGTAACCATATACATATAGAGTACAAAAATTAAATTATAATTACCTATGAGGTCCGAAATGAGCCTTCCGTCGGAGAATCTACCGGTGGAGATTCTTCCCGGAAAATCCCTTCCGTAGGGAAGGAAGTTGGACTTGATCAATGTTGTGATATGGTCGTTGTTGCCGGTATCAAGAATCGAGTCCCCGAAGGCGAAGACAGCTGAAGAAGTTCCTCTTCTACCAACTGTTCCGTTTTCAGGTGGCGGCGCCATTGTTATTGCAACCGCTTCGCAGAAGAATAGAGGACCAATGGTTACAATAAGCTGCAGCAAGAAGAAGAAACCTATTTTGCTATTTCTAGCTTAGTATGTTGGGTTAATTAATCTACCGTACTAATATATAGCTATAGCTAGCTGATGTACTATGAAATAATGCCGTTGAGGTGGTAGTTCTGCCAACTATTCCGCTGGCATCATCAATGATCTTCCCACACTGTCTATGAAAAGAAAACGAATCATCCTTTGATAACACAATATATAGCTTGATTATAGAACTAGCTTTGTACCCAGCCGTCGTACAATTATTAATCATTCTGATTATAGTTAAAGTTATTTTTGAATGAGTTGATAATTTTGATTTTGATGTAATTTATTTGTAGCGATAAATTTATATTTATATCAAAAGATTCACTTCCAAATCATATAAATTTTAATTTGATATGAATTTTACCGATGAAGTGAAAAGATAAAAAAAATCACAAATAACATATTTAAACACGTTTGATGACGTGCTAGTCCCAGTTTTGTTATAGTGATTACTATAATTGGTTAAGTTTATCTTATCAGTTTTGCTATTGATACTATCGAATAAAAATTTTCTTATTGGTTAGGAACTTTAATCCAAACCTAGTGTGTTGTGTGTTCGGATCCTGATAACGCTTATTTATATGTTCGTTTAGTTTTTAGTTAGTGTTGAGTTAAATAATGATAATAAATGTGAGGTGGGTAGTCAAGACTTACGTCAAAGTTTCAGAAGAGATAATTAAATTAATCGACAAGATATATAATGGCAAAATATGAGTTGAAATTGTCACATTTCAAATTTCGTGATCAAAGAGTGATTCTAGGAATGTTATTTTTGTCATTGCACTCAGTTCTTTTTTATATATTAAAAATGTTATAATTGGAGTTCAAACCTTGATCAATTCGATGAAGAAAGAACATTGTAACCAGCTACGCTACATTGTCTTATAGTTATTACTTTGGTTAAAATCTAGAAATATGTTTAGTGATGATGTTTCTATATTTTATATTTTATTGAAAGAGGTTATTTCTGAAATTGGAACTCAAGGAACATTCATTCAAAATTAATATTAAATTGTATGTGTAGTTTAGTTTAGACAAAATAAAGAAGTGTAACCAATACATGGAACTTTGTGACAAATATATTCATTTTTTGTGACAAATATACACATAATATAATGATAAAAATGAAAAATGAGAGTCTCATTTCAAATTTCCTAGTATGAGAATGATCCTACGAAGCTCTTTTTCGTCATTGCGTCCAATTTTATCTTTATATTATGTGTAGATTGTCACAAATAATTACTATATTTGTCACAAATGTCCATGTTTTGGCTACGCATATGTGTTTTGTTTAAACTGAACCATAAATATGATACAATTTAATATATAATGTTTGAATCAATATTATTTCTGTTATGATTTCACAATTAATCACTTTCTAAAAAGTTTGTGGAACGGGTTGAAAATATATCATTTGTTCGAATATTGCATATTGAATTGGAGCATTGAACATTTGCAAAATCATTTTTTATGTGTAATAAATTTGTACGACAAATACATGTAAATAAGTGAAGATGAACCTGATAATGCATTTTGATTCTTTTGATAAATAAAATGGTTTAAGCGATGAACTAACTACACTCACTCAATTGATTTAACAATTATCGTTTGTATCACTTTTAGTAATTAGCTTATTCACAAGCTATCAAAATACTTTGCTCCGTCGAGGAATAAACGCTCAAATGTGTGCATGGTTTAAGGTGCTACGATTCACATTATAGACTGTGAATGGGGAAGAAACATTTCGAAGGCAAAATTCGAGAAGTAATTGGGATGTTTCTCGATTTCTCTCGATTCTAGGCGGTGGGAAGAAAGAGTAAGGGAAGGGGGAGAGTGGTGAGATACAAAACTGAGAGAGAGAGATGGAAGAACAAATTGAAAAGAAAGAGAAAGGCAAAAAGACAGTAAGAGAACACATTTAAAAGAGGGGGAAAATGATGTAGTGAGAAATAATTGTCCTTCTCCTTTGCTCAGAGGGTATTGTTAGCTCTCTTATGTTGAGTTTTGATTTATTTTAGGGGATGACATTGTATTTGACAGATTTTTCCCATATCAATAAATCATAAATCAATATCATCATTTGGATGATTTTTTTCCTTAATATGATTATTGTAATTTATGAGATTTAAGGGGTATTTGATAATGTCAATATTTTATTGATTTTTCTATTTAAAGTTTGAATTGAAAGATCGTACCTACCGGTGGTTCGACCATAAAACTTCACACCATAGGCTAAATTGGTAGGTGATATTTAGCAATATAAAACGGTTGAACCACGGTTAAATAATGAGTTCGGTATAAAATACTCTACTACCAAATGACAATTTGCAACTCATATCTTTTTAAAATAACTGTATGCTACTCTTATCCTCGCTCATTCATCAACTTAATGAGTAATATATATTTCATATAATATGATTTCATAGGTTTTTTATTTATTGAATTACTTCATGAAAAAAATATTTGCTACAGTGAAAATTATTACATTGTTGCTAGACATGTTTGTGTTATGAGAGTAATTTGGGAAGTTCGTACACAATGCATTGTTCAAACACTATTAGCAAAAACTAAACATCATGTTTTATATATTTCTAATCAAGCAACTTTAGATTCATTACCAACAGTGTGGTAAAAAAAATGCTCTCTATTGGAAAAGAATTTAAAGGACATACTAAAATCTATGATATATATTTTCTTTCATCCTAAATGTTGATTATGTATGTTGTATGAGAAGCAACTCTAATATTCAACTATATGATTTAATTAAACAACGAATGACAATTAGTTTGTTTATTTCTTTTTTCATTCTGTAATTACATGTAATGCTTATACCATACTTTTTTCTCTTTTCATAGAGGTCTAAACACATTATGCATAGTTGGCTCACTTTCAAAAATGTTATGTGCATAACTAAGATACAAACAATCATTTCATGTATTTTAAATCATCTATTATATTCATTATTATATACAATATTTTTTGACCTAATTCTCTCGGCCAACGGGCCGGGTCCTGTGCTAGTGAAATGTTTAATGATAAAGTCCTTATTTTATTATATAGATATTGATTCTTTATTGGTAAAAAAAATATAGATATAGATTACTTATATGTGTTCTGAAGTAACGGTAAAAGTAGAAGGGCTCAAGTGGTTGCAATTAAAAAAAAACAACATGATAATAAATGAACGTATCCAAGAATTAGAGGTGCGGGGCCAAGCTTGGTACATGAATTCCAAATAATGCAGGCTAATATACAACCTCCATTACAATTATTATTGGCATTAAACAGCAAGAGAACATGAAAGCGAACCATCAAATAAATGGATTGGAAGTTTGAACAGACAAATAAATGGTGCATGGGACACAGTTGGGTGAACCCTTGACTACATGCACATGCATTTGCGTGGAAGTAAGAAAGAAAGGTGAGATGTCTTCTCATTTCGTACAAAGGGTCATACCTAGTACCATTTTGTTTTCTTTCCAATCATGTATGTGTCTGCGAATGTGTTGAGAGCATTTGTTGTCAAGCCGGTTCAACCGTTGTCGGTCATGAAATCGGTAGGATCAGGATGATCGATTTACTAATTCTAAGTGAATTAGCATTATTTTAGTAAATTTTATTGATAAAAATTACATTTATTATATGTTTTATGTATATAAAAGCTAAAAGTTGATGCAATTTGTTGGATTCAAGTATAAAAGTTTATATATTAACGTTAAATGTTGTATTTAAATATGAGTATTGGTTATTTTATTGTGGAATGTCGTATTTTGTTAAGCCAACATGAACCGACACAAACCAGTTGTACCACTAATCGTACCATTACACTTGTTAAACCGACGCAACGGTATAAACCCGTTTGACAACCTTGGTTGAGAGTGTTAGCCTGACGAAGTCGGGATTCGAAACTATCCGTGTTTTTTTTTCTTAATATAAATAATTATATGTTCATTATTTATTAACAATAACTATAACTAATAATATCCAAATACTTAAGTCGTATATAAAAAAATCAGTGACTAATACAATCATTGCTTTCATAAATAATCACGATGCGTTTTCATATTATGAAAGAATCTCAAACTACATTCGTTGTCTACACGCTTAAGTAAATCTCTTTCAATGATCACACCAAACAATTATTAGCAAACAAACGGCCAATTCGACTTCAAAACCTGTTCTTAAAATCGAATTAGAGATTTATTTCAATTGGGAGTTTTCGTTTACGGTTTAAATTAAATTTGTGTAAATCTAAGAACAATAAATTAGTTATAATGCAGTGACGGAGCGCTCTTAAAACAATCTCAAAGTGGTGAGGTCAATGCTTGGTATAAGCATACAATAGGAGTATATAATTTCCCCCAAAAAAATTACATGTTTCCTCTAACAACGTCTAACTAGCTAGGCTGCCTCCGCCTATTGTCTTAGGATACGATCAATAACCCTTGTTACTGACCAATGAATAATCAAATCTCAGCCATCAAATTTAAGTGGACCCAAAAAATTCAGATTTAAGAGTAGAGAATTAAAGATATTTTATTTTTCCTAGTTTTCTTGGTCGGCCCTTATTTTCTAAATTCTAACGCAGATTTCAATTTTTTTCTATAGATGGAACGAGTTCATAGTGCTCTACAAAATGAGATCAATTTTCAATATATTTTGAGAAATATTTTTCGTATTTCTCATTACCAACTCCATGTCATATGGTAACTTCTTCATTTTTAAGTCGTTTTTAAAACATTTGCTCGGAAGGAATGAGTTCATCAAGATTTATTTGTATTTACAAATTTATGAGTGAAAAAAATACAGGACCAAAAATTACCATACTTTACCACCCTAGTATGGGGGTGGTAAATTATGGTAAACAATGATGGAAATTGTAAATGACAGTTAGTATACTTCTACTATCATGTATTCAACCTTCCTACACTCTTGGTAAATTCATACTATCATGGTACGCTTTCTTACCATATGGTATGCTCCTATTTAACACCATATGGTATTGATTGGTAAAAAATGCCTCAATTTTTTTTTGTTCTAGAAATATATCAAAGTGGATATCATTTTAAAGAGCACAATTAATTTGATTTATCTGTTCAAAAAAAAAAATTAATTCCGAC